GAAATATAGTTCATGAAAAACAGCTGTACCAATTGGGAAAAATTTTTTTTTTAAATACAATTTTATTCCTGACAATTTCCAAAACTTACGAAGTTAAAGTATTAATACAAATAAAGGATACAACGCTTTGCGTTGTTTCATCGTATTCAAGATAGCCATGGGTACGCAAATATATGAATTCTCCGGTTTTTGTTATTAGCCGATAACAAGATGATCCATGATTTATGCCTTGATCATACACTAAAAAGAAAAAAAGAAAAAAATAATTTTTAATTTACAAATTTGTCATCGTCCATTACTACAATATGTACTTTAATGTATAATGAAACAGTCGTCTAATATAATTGAATTATAATATTAAAGTCTTAAGTATAAAAGAAAAGAGAAAACTTACTGTATCGAAGAGCGACTATTGTCCACCGAACATCGTCCTTATGCATAAATTTGAATGCACTCGTACCCGATACTTCTTCCGACATGTAGCCAGCGACAATCGATATTCTATGATCACAAAATATAATTCTACCATCGACCAAATGTCTCGTAAAGTATTCGTTTTTATTTGTTTCTAAAATTGACAATTCGGTGATGGATCGTTGCTTCAGTAGTCGAGCCGTGCCAATGAAAATAATGTCATTGCTCGTTGAACTATGATCTGCACAATTCAAAGCAATTATGTAATGTTAATATAACAAGCCAATTATTTTTGCTCATTTCAATATTACAATAGAAATGTTATTTATAATCTATAGTTCTTTATATAATTCACGCCCGAGTATAGTAGTATTTTAATAGGATATGGAATTGGCTTTGAATTTCACATAGTGATAAATGAATTATTTAAGTTTCATTGATCGTCGTATGTCTATGTCTAATAACATTTTAGAATAGATAAGGACGTTTGTGTACTCATTAAATAAAATTATATACGACGAACTAACAAATGTTAAAATATTGCAAAACTTTTCTACTTCTTCATCATCTTCCCTTGTTTTTTTTTTCTTTAACATAAAAAATACACTTTTTACTACATTAAAAATTCTTAGGAAATTTGCAGTTAATTAGTCCAATTCGATACAACATTTTAAACATTACCAACTTCATAATCACAATTTACATGTTACCAATCAAAAAGTGCACGTTCTTAGCTTACAGTTTCATTACATTAAAAAATTATAAAAGTATTTCAATATAAATACTGACTTACAAAATTCCGATTTAACATTATTGCAAATAATCTAAATTATTTTAAATCAATATTTAAGAATATCACATCGAAGAAGCCATTGTCTAAAATACGCAAGTTATCGCATCATTTTAAAATTTCATAAAATTTTTATAAATTCAAATAGAATTTGTTCGAGCCATATATTTTACTCACAATTTCTTTTGAAATCAAATCAATCAAGCTTAAGTATTTTGAAAGCTCATTTTACTGCTCCAAATTAGTAGCCGTAAATATTATATCCCTATCTCAAAAATGAAACAAAACGAACATTTTCTTATTTTATGAAACAATATACTTGTGTAAATTAAACAAAACTATTCTTTTACTGTAAACATCATGTGCGAATTATCAAGATTAATATATTACAGATTTTTATCTCTTGTTTAAAGAAATTTTCGATTTAATATGATAAGATAATTTGTGCAATGTCATTAAAACTTAATATAACACTGTTAAAATCGAATAATTATAATTATAATTATTATGAATTAGAAATACTTGGTTCGTTTAAGCCGAGAGCTAACATTACTTTGGGTTAATTTAATTCTATAGATCTATTACATGCAAATTGAAAGATTTCAATCATATTAGAATGATTAAGACTCATATCGTAAAGTAATTCAACTATTTTAATTTTTTTCATTCAAGTCAGACTCGTAGGAAACTCCTTCGTTATACGTGCAAATGAAAAGTTTTTAAACTTAAAATGAGAAATTCCATTCCAATATCATATTTACATTTTACGTGAAATCATATTTTCCATTGCATATTTCCAAGTAAAAATAACCGTATGATTAATCGCGTGAAGTCGTCTTAGTGATCATTAATAGTGAATTTTCAATGCGCTCGCACCAAGCTCACAAACGCACATTTTCCAAACAAAGAGTCCTTTTCTACATAAGTAGGAGGAAAGTTTTCTCTAAACTACGGATTAGAAAAGGAGCCATTAAATAGCCACTGTAGTCGACCAACTGACCAACTGAAATTATTTTATTATTGTTATCTATGTATCGTTGCCGATATCGAATTATATCATTATTGAGAACAATAGGCCTTGGTCTATCTCTTGCTACTTTTTTTATTTGGTCAAGAATCAAAGCGAATATGCACTTCTTTCTTCGAGTTCTCCTCGTATCATAATCGCAGCATGAAACCGGACACTCGGACTACGTCATATACATGACAATAATCATCGTTTTCATATCTACCAGTACAAAAGGCTTTACTAATAAACTTCTACAAACACAGATACTCTATTAATTCTTTTACGGTGACATGCACACGCCATTTGAATTCTTAGGCAAACAGAATTTATAATTAACTTAATTTATGCATAAATATTATATTACGTAAGAAAATGGCGAATTACACAAAAATAGCTAACCATTCGTAAATCGTTAAAATTATAAAATACATTTCGACAATATTTCGACAATAATACCGTATGTAAAATTACACGAAAATGTATTTAAAGTTCACGTTTGTACGGATGATTCTGGAAATGATGGTGGCTTTTCTTATGATCCAGACACTTTGAGAATGTATGAGCTATGTTTAGACGAATCCGAATTAATCGTAGCATGGAAATTTGAATTAATTAGAGAAAAAAATGCAAATGAGTCATACAAGAGGATTCGAATTTAATTAACGAGCTGCATAATTCGATTAAAAAATTTACTACCTTAAACGTTCAATGAGAAATGCAAAATATACAATTTAACACTCGATTTTGAAATTGCTATCGGCTTACGGAGACTTCCTTTTCCAATTCGTACTTTTTCAATCATTTTACAAGATCAATAAAACAAAAATGTAATGATTATAGTTTCGTTTAGTGTGTGTATTATTGGGTTACATTTTCAGTTTCAAAGATTTCGATGATAATTCAATTATTGATTTAAGGAACTATTGATAAGCAAAACAAAACAAAAAAAAACAAAAAAACAAAAAAACAAAAAAACAAAAAAAAAAAAACAAACCAAGAATCTAACAAGACTAACAAAAGACAGACAAAATATAAAATAAATAAATATAATAATAAGAATTAAAGAGAAAAAAAGAATCGTTTGAATTGATGTAAATGTTGACCCATTAAATTCAAAAGATTTATTTTATCAAATTTTTCATAAATATAGCAAATATAGATTTAGCTCGAGCAATACAATTTTTACAAATTAGCTGGAATTTATTCCAAGTAAAATGCTTTCTAAACTGCCATACTATAATTTTCAGTTCTTCTGAAAAAACACGATTATACTTTTACTCGATTCTATACAAGATTTTTTTACATCGCATCACATTTACTCTTTGATCTCATATTATTATTTATAATTTTTATTGTTAATTTAATGGATAATGAATGTAATATTTAAATGGAAAATTGGAATTTGAAATTGAAATTGAAATTGAAATTGAAATTGTCAAATGTATATGAAAGATCGCGGAGATGAGAAAAAAATAGCTGTAATGGTTAATGTTTAGGGTATTATAATCGATAGTGACGCTAATATCTGAAAGGTGCCGAATTACCTCCATACACTAGGGCTCAATAAAAATATACTTTAATAATAATAATATCCCATAATATTCATTAGCATTTTGGCTTGTAAAACAATGAAAAAGTCTCGTGGGTTGTTATTACCTCTTTTCGCGCGCGAATTATTGACTTCCTGACTCTTGCACTCGTTTGCAAGCCTCAGGACGCCGGAGATCTGTAGGTACTCGTGCGCTGTGACATGCGTATGTTGAAGCTTCGCCTCTCTTCCCGAAAGTTATTGTATTCGGGCGAAGGTGTGCTGTCCTCGGACGAGCTCGAAGCTTCCTCAAGCGAGTCCGTATTCGTAATTGGCAGACGATTCAGTTCTGGGGTCAGACCTCTTGTCAATTCTTCGTGATCGTGCCGATATACGTAGTTATAGAGCGAGTCACCAATCAGATCGATCTGGAAAGTTAAATAACATAAAATTAGACATATCAATTGTTGCTCGTCTCCTTTAGCACAAATCAGCTACACGTCCACATTAAAAGTAAGTCATCTATTTGATTGCGGATGATGTATGTCCTCTGCGCATATGATTTTAAGTATTCCATTTAAATAGAGTACGCCAGTTGGAATATTAATAGCATCTCTAAGTGGAATAAATATCATCTCTTTATTTAGAATTTAATAAGTCACATAGGAATCATAGTCACGTCTAATTCGGTTATTGCATTTCCGTTACATCTCGCATACTTTAATAATAATGAAACGCGCAACTTCAATTCGCGTCAATACAACATCTACATAAATACCCGATTAATTTGTAAATATTCATACGAAATATCAGGATAATATATGAATGTATCCTATTTCAAGATAGAATGTGCATACTTAATCTTGAAATTGCATTTAATCGCCTGACCACATTTTATTTACTTTAATAAAGAAATTTAACGTTCCATCGGCATCCGTACATCGGCGGATGTAATTTTCTACCCTGCATTCGTTATTTACATTAATATTTAAGAAACACTAACTCCTTACATTTTGCTGTTGTTGTTGTTGTTGTTGTTGTTGTTGTTTATTTATTTATTTTTATTTATTTTTTATTTATTTTTTTTTTTTTTAGAATATACATTTGTTACAAGTATTCGCTTTGAATTCGTTAAAGTAATTGGTCGTAGATTAAGTCATACATTATAACCTTCCAATTCCGAACTCTTGTGGCTATTGCTGACAAAGTTCTGGTAATGTGCCATTAGTATATTTTTAAGATTTTATGTTTATAAAGCTAAAAATAATTAGCAATACGTTATTTGAATGCTTTTCACTCGTAAAAGTATAGAATTAAAAATTTATGTTCGAAACATTATGAAAGTATGATCTCACTATATGATTTATCCAACGTAATTAAAATTATCTCGTATAATTTCTATTAAAAGTTTACATCGACAAAATATTATTAAGTATTATACTAATTGAATTGTCGTTCCGCTCAAAAGCTTATTACCTTTTTTTACATACAATTCAAGCAAAATAACATACTCTAATTTTATGTTTCGGGTAACAGGAAATTTTTTCTCATAAATCTTGGTGCACAAAAATATTGCCATATTAATAAAAATAAAAAATAATATCACGAGTTTTATGTTTTCAAAGTTTTTGAATTTCATCGTACGAGAATAGAAATACACTAATTTTTTATTAACAACAACGTCAAGTATCACGGTAAACAATGAAAGGTAACAGCATTGTTTTTTGTTATTGTTATTGTTGTTGTTGTTATTATTTTTTTTAATTTATCTCAAAATGAATTATTTTACACGAGTATTAAAATGTATAATTTCTAGTATCAGAGTTTGAAAGAAAAATCATGAATTATTAAACAAGTAACAATAATAATAATAATAATAACAATAATAATAATAATACAATGAAAATATTAAAATGTAGGTCGTATTAGTTTGCTTAAATCTCGATTGAAAAAAGACAAAAAAACAAAACAAAAAACAACAAAAAAAAAAAAAAACAAAAAAAATGCGAAAAGTTCTGTCGATTATTCGTCCGAGCTTATAAAAAAAATTAACTACAATGAGCTATTGAATTTGCAACCACTGAAGATTCGATCTTCTTTCAATATCCGCAGAAATTACGTATGCATAAAGAAGGATAGTTCGCGTTGCTTGGAAAGGTTGCTATGGAAGCCGTTGGAGATGCTGCTGGTTCAATATTTGCCAAGAATTTGATCGATTATTCCTGACCGTTCCTCGAGCAGTCGCCTTACTGACCATTAATTTCACCCACATTTTATCACCTTTTACACGCACATACTCACGCACGCGTCTCTGCTCAAGTCAATCAAGCAATACCGTATGGAAGTCGTGATTTCCTTCCTATCGCCCTACATTTTATCGCCGATCATTTCGCCTCGAATTATAAGCATCTCAATTTCAATACAATTTTTTAGCAGCGCGTGTCCGTGACAGGCAGCACTCTCTGCATTCCGCCTCTCCACTCTCTTTTCGGGCACGATAAACATTTTCCAAGATCATTCTTTATTCCATTGCCTAGGGACATTTATCTAATATTTGAGTTAGCGGTAGTAGCGCGACGGGGATGTCGATATTTTCCGCTTACAAACGAATCCCCCAAAGTCTTCCATTCTCAAAAGTGACCTACAAATACTCCCTCCTCCAAGGTGATCCAATAACACAGATTTATATCGATTTTCCATAATGCGAATTGCCTCCTGTTAAAAGGTAACGTGTAAGTGGCGCCGTCGCTTATCAGTGAGATCCGATTGCGAATGAAAAAGCACGCGGCGAGTCTTGTTCCAACTGTTTAGCGCTACCGAGCTGATAAATTGTTTAAAAATTATCCGAGCCCTTCTTGATATATATAGGACATTTATATATATATATATATATAGGATATATAGGACGCTCGATCGTTTTGCACACGAAGCATGGTACGTGATGTGTGTGTCGCGTAGCCCGGTGCCTCAGTGTGCATTCGTACCAACTGCGGCGATATGCTCCCAAGGTTTTTCAGTGCTACGGTTCAATCAAATGCAGATTATGCTAACAATTAATGGATACTCTTAAACTTTTAAAGCCCTACTTATCTATCGAGTCACTTTAATGCGATCTGTTAATTGTTTACGATTGTTCGCAAGTCGAATGAAATCCCATTTGGTGAGTCTACGTGTATAGGTGTATCGAGATGTGATGTTGAGATGGCTCGTCGATCCGATCAAATGGCTTGAATTCTCTTGTGAGGTTATCCTCGCGGTAATATTAATCTACGGATACTCTACTAGTCTTACTTAAAGTATCTACTTGTATGTCGCGATTTTGTTACTTTTACGGCTGTCATAATGTTTTTTCGTTCATACGACTTGCAAAACGTCACACTTTGATAGTTTATCGTTATTTTCGCTCCCCCCCCCCTCCCCCAACCACTCCCAATCCCACCAAAAGAGCTTATAGCAAAGAGGACGAAATCATTATTATTCTGTTATTAATATTTGCTTCGTAAAATTTAACAACATTTAATCTCTAATTTATAATTGAGATTTATGCTATCTATAATGCTCGCTCGTTTATTCTATTGAACGTAGGCATCTATTTCTATGAATACCGCAAGCACTGTTCAAAGAACATCAAAGTTACGTGCGACATGCGAACGGGAATGAATGTTGTTGCACATAATACGCGTAATGAATGCTTGTGAAGCGATTGTCGAGTAAGTACCGTGAAATAAATGAAGTTGCAAGATGCGCAGCAAGTCGCTCGGATGACGTGCCCTGGCCGAGGGTCTATCGATTTAGTAATAATTGACATTGCAATTGAGTGGTTAAAAATATTATTTATTAGATTAAAAATGTAAAAAAATTATAGCCACTGTGTATTGATATTCAATTGTAAAATAGCAAATGAATAATTCCAATAACAAAAACACATAAAAATATTGGCATCTTTCTCTTCTATCATTCGATATACCTAATAATTAATGTTTCAATTTTCGGATGAATAGATTATCAGGCACTTGGCAAATAAATAATTTAATCCTCTTACAAATCCAATACAATTTCACATTATAAAGCAAAGTAAAACCCATTAAGCGCATTAATAATTCGTTATAATCTTAAATCGATAATGCATATGTATATTTTACATTTGAATTTCTTTTAAATTGCAACTACGTTAATACGTGATATATATATATATATATATATATATATATATATATATATATATATATGTAAATGAGCTGAAAGAAGAAAATTTGGGATTGGCGAAAGCTTGTCATAAAGCAAGACATCGCTATAGCGATAATAGTATATACGGTAATCACTTAGAGCATAATTAATGTGTGTACGAAAGATTTACCTGTTCATGACCGAGGTGCTGCTCCACATGCCGGCTAATGTAAATAATCTTGCCCGCGGTAGTCACCACAAGCAGAAAACTCGAATTCCCAGCCAAATTCTGAAATTCATTGCATTGTACGTTATTTATCCGTAGCCACGCTTACTACGATTACAAATTATCTCACAAAATATACAAGAGAAATATTCAATTTCGTTGGGAAATATTCAGTTATTCATCGGCGTTCATTAAGGAGCTGTGAAATAGAGCCATTGAATTCAGCGCAAGATAAATGTTATAAGAACCGAATGTCAAGTTATTTTTCAAGTCTTTTATAAATATTCTGCCTTATATGTAGCGTTTTTGAAGCAACACTTAAAAAAAAAAAAAAAGAAAGAAAAAAAAAATCGAACGTATCTCATTAAGCACGAAGATTCAATTTCGCAACGAGTTGATCTTTATGAGCTCTTGCGTGTATTAAGAAATTGACAATGTTTTTGACGTTGGAACGAGTTTAGCCGTATCGATGATAACGTCAACAATTATTATCAATGCTCAAAAATCAACGCAAATAAATATTGATCGAGGTATTGCACAATACCGGGCAAAATGCATCGACAAATTCGTGACGTAGGGGGTATATAATGTAGAGTGAAAAATCGGAAATGAAGGAACGTTCGAGTGTGCACGACAAATGCTCACTGGCGCGCGTCAATAAGTCCCGATAAAATGGAAAGTATATTGTATCAACATTCGTGTTCGATAGCTTCCCGTCCGGCGGTTACGGAGCTACGTACTAGCACGGAGCTCAATCATCAGCTTTACAGTTGCGCGGGCAGACTGTCAATGAGGCGGATTATATAGCATTTTTACGAATACTAATTTATTGGACTTACGTCGATCAGGCAGTTCTCGAGGTCGATGTCATTGAACTGACGCGGAAGAAATTTGTTGGTCGTCAGTCCCAGTGCTGCAAAAAAAAAAAAAAAAAAAAGAAAGAACGAAAGAAAGAAAGAAAGAAAGAAAGAAAGAAAAAACAAGAAGAAATATGACAATTTAATGGTGACTCATCTCGGGGGATGATCCCTTTTGGATAATTATAAATAGAGATCTTCAATTTATTTAAAGCGCTCGACAAATTTATTTTACCTTATTATATTCATGCACGCGATACTTAAACCTAAGTCACTAGGCTTACCGTCTTATTTTTTCTTTTATTCCATTGTTTTTTGTAACGCCAAAGTATGCGTAAATATAAGCTGCCAGCCCCAGGGCATTATAAAACTTATTTCATATACATATATCATACGCTATTAGATATAAAAATTATCATTATTATTATTATTATTATTATTATTATTATTATTATTATTATTACTATTATTATTATTATTTTCTCATTTTATGCTCTTATGTATTCACAGAGTGTTGCTTAAACGCATATATGATTTAATCGCGAGTATTCGCAAGACAAAGTTAAAACGATTAAGCTCGAAGGAGATAATTTCGGGAACAATAGATAATAAGCGAATTTCCAAAAATGTGCCGACTGTTTGCTGGCAAAATATCTCGTACTATGCTTTAATTGCATACCGTCACAATACCGTCAATGTTTCATCACACATTCGTAGATCGCAGCAAGATCGAGCATTGGCAGAGCGTCGGCAATGTGCGTGTTGCTACACTCAACTCTCTCCATCTTAATCGGCACTGAAAGCTCTGCGGGCAGTATCGAAAGCTTTCTAACTTTTTTTCCCTCCCACCCCACCCCACCCACCCTCCCATCCATCCACGACAATGTACATCGATCGGCATGAAATGCTCTTTTGTGCTTCAATACTTACTCGCTGATAATAAGTAATAACAATAAATGACGTTAATCTAGTTGTATTGAAACGGTATAATTCAATATCGATTTTATACAATGGTGGGTTTTTTTTTATCTTCATTTTTCGCAGACACTTATATTAAAAACAAAAATTTATGCCTTTATAAATGCGAATGAATAAAAAACACTTATCTTATGTTTAATTAATGCAATTGGCAAAAAGGTTTTACTTTAGCCGGTAATAGCTAACATTGAACACTGTGCTATCGTTGTATTGCTGTACATTTTGAGCATTAAAATTTTCAATAAGGAATAATCCTATTAAGATTGTTTTAGGAACGACAAATAGCCACATTAACGTAAAGGATTGCAACGCAGCATTTGCGCGCGTTAGAATTAATAATTTCAAAATTATTGACAAATCGAGAAATTTATCAACCGAAATAGGATTGATCAGCGTATCTATTAGACACCTACCATAGCTCAAACTTCTTTTTTTTTTTTTTTTTTTTTTTTTTTTTTTTTTTTCATTTCAACTCTAAATAGATTATATGCTAATGAATATTCTCTTGGAGCTCTGCTACTTGCCCAATACAGATATTGGCCACTCATATTCGTTACTCGACAATTCTGGATTTATGAATCATGATCTATGAAATTCGACTAGTCGATATTTAATATAACATAATACAATATTCCATTATTTATTTACATATAAAAGTATGTTGCTATAGATATAAATATGTTGGAAATGCTTTATATTCCGCGCATTTTCATTAATAAATTTTTATTATCTTACTATTACATCATTTTCTTGAATTATTTAAGCAAATCGTCTATTATCATCTATTGTGATTAAAAATACAAGGTTAAAATTATGTAAGCACGATACGTTTATGGTTGAACGGAAATATATAAGTTTCAACAAAAGTTCAAACAAAGTCGTAAAATGTTGTAGCATTCTGATTGGTTATCGTCTAAAATTTCGATTAAATGTCTAATATATTTAATATCAAACGGTAGATTTGTGAATAAATGTTTTTGTAAAATACTATACAGTTCTAAAGGAACAATCTAAAAATCAATATATTTGATATTTAATTAATCTAATATGCAATAATTATTAGGCACATAAGACATTACATCACCTGCGATTTAAAGATTATTAATTCTCATTCGAAGCACCGATTTTTGAATAAAAATTATATCCAAGTGTTGAAATCTAAATTTTAAAATATCCTTTGAATATTAAATACCAAATTTCAATCAAATTCAATAAAATATGGTCAAGCATTTATTTTTAAAATCAAAGCATGTATCCGTAATTTATGGTCTAATTTAAATTTGTATAAATATGCTCTAAATACATAATATCAAATTATTAACGACATATTTATAAAATTTTATAATATAAATATCAATTTTCGATGTCAAAAACAAAAAATATATATATATATATATATATATATATATATATATTTATATTTACGTAGGTTAATATTGTTCTTGTTAAGTACGTTGTAGCTTGAACTCTCATTGATTTTTTAATATTATTTTTAAATAACTTGGTAGCTTTAAAACTAAACTCTGTCAAAAATATATTTAGGCATTGCTAATCGTGGCGTGACTGATTAATTATTAAATAACTTATTATATCTAAGCTTGTAATTAGGGGCTAATAAAAATTTTCATCCTTACCCGATCTATTTGCTTATTTGTTTACTAATTATAATGAAGCGCGATTATTGCCTTACTAAAAACTAATAGTTACTCATATCGGTAGTAAATATGAAAATAGAAAAATTTGTGACTAGCTATTTTTATTCGTAAAAATTTTTTGAATTCTACACTGCTATTCAGAACATAATTGCATATTATTTTTTTTTTAGATATAAACAATCGACTATTAATGACTAGGGACAAACGGAAAAGTATCTTACATAATTTATGGCATTCGTAACATTTTGTTTTGTACTTTTTATTGTGACATTAAGATAATCTCGATATGAAATACAATGTTTAAATCATTTATTTAAAATTTTTTTTATAGTTTATTGCTCTTTGCTTAAAATTCTTTAAATATTCCTCGGTATTATGTTGTATGAAAAAGCCTCTAATCATTAACGTAATATTTTATGAAAACTGAACTTTCATGATTTTTATTAGGAAGAATATTGTTATTTTAATAATACATAATAAATATGTATCGATCGTTACTAGAATAAAATTTGTAAACTGCTTAGATGAAAAAGAAAGGACTGTCTGTATAGTCACATAGTTGAGGTATATTATTGTACTACGATTACATAATGGATTTGTTGAAATTACCGTGCCAAAATTAAAATATATTTACACTATTACGTATAATACTGAAAGTGCCATAATGTGACAAATATTCACTAAATTAGAAAATATTAATCTTAATAGCAGCCAGATGTTTATTATCATGAAGAGGAACATACACTAGCAGATAAAATAACGAAGTAATGGCAATCAATGAGTAAGGGATAATGGTGGATTTAATTTTACAAATCGAACTTATGGATTTACTCTCTTCTTTTGTAATTAATTTCTCCTTATATTGATACTCGTAGGCAATTCGGTTACCATCAGTTTATCATCGACGATTAACCAACGAAATGTGATAGTTATACACGTAAACCCATAAAATTATGTACGAAACAGATACGATAAATTATGAATAAATCTGATATAAAAATCGATAAGACCCAGTAATTTTTAAAAATCTTAATTGCCAAGTTGCATAATTACCATTGTTTATAAAATTATATTTTTATCATCATGAAAGTTCGTATTCTTTTTTTTTTGTTTTTTTTTTGTTTTTTTTTTTGTTTAAGCAATTTTTCAAATTTTCTTATTCTAAGTGTTGTTAAATTTTAAAAATATCTAGTAAATTTCCTTTTCGTTCAAATTATATTATCAGGCATTCACTTTTTCGAAGTCGTTCATTAATTTTAATTTTCATAATTTTATGCACACAATGATCTTTGAACTCATTGAGTTCTCACATTAATATTCTAATCCAACAATTACCAATAACTTAAGAAGAAAGAAACAATTTATATTAAGAGTAAATGGTTTGAAAGATTTTCAAAATGAAGCTAATATTATAAACCAATCATTACTCTCCAATAAACATGTATTATCATAGAAAAAATATAAAAACAATAAAATTATACAAGCGAATTATATAAAAAATTTTTTATAAATCTTCACTAACATTCATCATACATGATTATCCAGAATATGTATCATCGCGTTTGTTGAGTTAATCTTTAAATCACAACTTTATAACGGTAAACACTCAAGTTGCTTAATTTTATAGAGCCTTATGTATAGAATGCCCATGTGTGCAGCAGCAACGGAGTTTAAACGAACTTTCCACCGCAACTTTATAATTCTGGGCTTCATAAGCTCGCTGCACTTGTTCAAATACATTAAGACATCGATATCAAGAAGCTAATGACGTCAGTATATCACGCCCGACATTAATTTCTGTCTAATATGCACTAGTTTTATAATATTGCAATTTCAACGTAAAATTAGATATCGCAATTAAGCTTTCAATTACGTATAATATATGTATATATATATATATATATATATATATATATATATATATATATGCGCGTGTGTGTGTGCGCGCGCGCATGTGTGTATCATAACGACAAAGATATAAATTCATACAACCGCATTTGCATTTCTTTATTAGTGATTTATTATGTTTAACAACTAAGTGATAATTTATCAATATTTCCTTTATGATATAAATTAGATACTAGTATTTTAAGTTCAGCTATCGACACTCATAATTCAGTTACTATCATGTTTTAGAAAAATGAATTCTCTGTTTTTAAAAATTTATCTCATCAAAAATAATTTTAAAAAAAAGAAGAAGAAAAAGAACAATAAAATACTTCATTATATTCAAAATTAATAATATATACAGCTAATGCTTATAATCTAGTACAAAATACACACACGCACGCACGCACACAGAAAATGTATGATTAAACGCTAGTGTATCGATGATAATAATGGAATCAATTAGAGAGAGAGAGAGAGAGAGAGAGAGAGAGAGAGAGAAAAAAAACCAAACAAAAAAATTAAACGATTATTGTCTTGATGAGAGGCTATTTATTCATGCACTGAAATTATTTTAACACCAATATATTGTGTACGAATCTTATTTACACCGACTACATTTGAAATTTATTAATATCATAATTTACATAATTTGCATGAAGCTCGATAAAAATGGCTACAAATATCAATATACTATTTTCCCGTTTCGTTTAATTAGCATTCCAACAAGACATACCCGACAAGACGACATTTAATCATTTAGTTTTTGGCCATTCGCAGATAAATGTCTTAGCATGAGAAATACAAATATTTCGTTAAGTAAACACTCACTATAGGCAATCCTCAAATGAGCTGCAGTCAATCTTAAAACAGATATCTTGTCCTTTTTGCGGGAACCTCCGCCAGATACAGTGGGAACCATTGAAGCCATCGTAGCGATTTGTGTATTCAGGTTATCCCTACGCTGCTTTTCCGCCATATTGCGAGATGCTCGCGGATTACTGGAAAATATGTAAAATTGCACATGAGCTAGAATAATCGAGTGATCGCTAATTTTTCAATTCATCAAAATCATTAATAACCGCTACACCGAATATCCATTATGGTTCGAATATTAGAGTTTACTTGTTAAGTATAGCATCATGTTATTTTATTTTTTATTTTTTGAATTTTTTTATCAGAATCTTTATTCTCCCAAGGTCTCCACATACTTCATTTTCTTTTTCACAATCACGCTTTCATACTTCGTTAATAAGCATTTTATGCCAGTTACTCGGTCGACTAAAAACAGCCATTTTTCAATGTATTTTAATTATCAATAGTACTTTATATCCTAAATATTCGATAAAAACTAACACAGTTTAATTCAAAATACATATTTTTCATTTTTTAAATATTTCATGTTTTAATTAGATATACTCTTTGCGATAATTTATCATGTTCTTAAATAAACTGTACATATTACGTTATTGAAGCACGATTATATAAACATTTAAAAGTAAATTTAATTTTTTCTTATCCTGTCACTCTTTTAAACGAATACTACAAATTATGTATCTACTGTTCTTCATTTCCGACAGTTTACATAAAGTATCGTTTTACTTTAATAAATTTTAATGACAATCCACCGTAAAATTATTATATTAAAAGAATTCGAAACTAAATGTAATCCTCGATAAATAAATTAAAGGCAAAAAAAAAAAAGAAAGAAAGAAAGAAAATGAAAAGAAAAAAAAGATAAAATTACGCCTTATTAAGTTGGAAAAAATAAAAAAGAAAAAAAGAAAGAAAAAAGAGAGAAAAAAAGAAGTGAAATAACGATTGCCGAAGAGAAAGTTAAGTTTTTCTAAAATACGAAATAAAAAATTTTTATATTATCAACATAATGGATAATCTATTTTTAAATATTGCTTATCACTATATATTTAATTTGAATATTTTACCGTAATTTCTTATGAATTTTTTGAAAATTTATCAGAATCTATTTATAAATATTTGTTAAAATGATTTAAAAAGATTCTACGATAAACAATTTCTTTTTCGATTTTTTTTTTTTTTTTTTTTTTTTTTTTTTAATACTGTAACTAATCGATGCAAACATTCTTTTGATAATACTATATTATACAAATAATTTATTGTAACAAAAAGTCTGAAAAATTAATTCGTCATTCAAGCTGACGAAATTTCTTTATTTTGAAAATAACATTTTATACGCATAGGATTTTAATCATTAGTAATTAAATGAAGCCTTGCGAATTCTATATTTATTAAACTGTATTATATAATATAATACGTCATTGCTATTATAGGACTAAGAAAAAATTTTTTTAACATTTTATACAAATTATTATTTGAATAAATCTGTTATTGAACATAATCATTATCAGTATATTATCAGCAATTATAGGAATATGAATATTAAAATATAGGTATTTACGAATGTTTTTATATTTACTTATTATAAACTCATACAGCGGCGCAATATTATTTGGTCAATAAATGCTTAATGTTGAATAAATCAAAATACTTTTAAATAACTATTCGATAAAATTTGCTTTCTGATAAAAGACAAAGAAAATAATGGCTTAGGCATTTATTTGCGTTCGCGTTGAAAAAGCTTAAATTGGGCATATTTTCAATAAGATTGCTAATCAAAATTAATTAAAAATAAAGGGCCAATGAACCGATGATTATACACAGTTAATATGACTGAAAGGTTTTTGAAAGAAGCACTATATTCCTATAGTCGCCGCATCAATTAAATCATAGATATTTTAATTCCACATCGTTGTTAATATGCATGGCCGACTGAATAAAGTACTGAGCAGCGTTACCTATGCATAAATAATAAATCGAGAATGTAAGAAGATAGTTTTTACGAATTGTATAGCTACAAGCAAATTATTAATGATAAAATAATAATAAGAAGAAAATAAAATATGTAGATAACAATGGGAACTTAAGATGAAATGTATAATGATACTACTGTAGCTGCCACTTGTTAGTTAGTTCATAGACTTGTAAAGATAGATGTGCGTAAATATCGAACACATCTATATAAACGCGAATATGCACACAAGTATGTTGGGAGAAGATGCAAGGCCAATGCGCTACGCGGTGACAGCAGGAAGTAGCGAGAGTCCCTGAAAATTTTTACACGGCGCAATTCCAAAAAGTCGGCATTTCACGGGACTGGAAACTTCAAGCGGCACGTCTACCGACAATTACATCGATGCTCAATTTGTCTTACTAACATCTTCTATCCACTCGACGCCATCCTAATAACTCCCTACACAAAAGGCATTTTTTACGTACATTATCTCAGCTGCTCCTACTTCTCTCACTCTATTTGCTATTGAAAATGACATTTTCATCGCCGAGCTCGTGCATACAAAGCTGATGCCTAACGCCTTTCAGCACTGCTGGAGCGACAATAGACATCGACTATTTCTTAGCTCACGACGAAATCAGATCTCAGGACAGAAATACGCCACTCGCGTATCGCGAACAAGTATTTTTTCACATTTGTAACTGTCTTTGCGCTCTGAGCCTAGACGATATTTTATATTATCTTCGGCTAAATCTATCCTTGTCTGCCTACCGCCAAGCCTTTTGAAGTGCGAGATAATGAAGTGGGGACGAGTGCGCATTTTTTCGCTACCGCCGAATAATATAATTTTGCAAACTTGGCCAAGTTTATGAATAGCGCTAAGCCTTAGCGTATAATTACTTGACGGCCAAACGCTTCCTTGTACATTCGATTTGTCGTAATATTACCGATTCTACATTGCTCACTCAAAAATACAAATACTAATAATATATTTTGTCAGAAAAATTTCTATTACCGTATGGATTTTGCAGCTCGAACAACGCCCTATAATATTACGTGACATAATAATCAAATTAACCTAACTATTATTATGAAATAGTTTAATGAACTTAAGACATCATAATGACGTAAAAAAAAAAGGTGGAACTTTTTTTTTCTTTACTCTGCGCTAATTTTAACCAGTATATTTACTCATAACCTAATTTCTTTTAAGTCTAATTTTATATTGTCTTCGAATTTTTGTTTTTCTCCGCTAAAAGAAGCCGTTTATTATCATAAATTTTTCTTCTCTTCGCTTTTTTCTTTTTTACCGAGTTTTCACGTGACATAAGCTTCCTAAACTGCATAATTTCATTAATTTTTCATGTACGTGCTACTGTATCTCGTTATTACATAATGACGTATATTTTTAACGTTGTAGAACTTATTATGATCCATATTTTTTTTTTGTAAATATCTTATTTTTAAATATACTAATCTTACTTTTTTTTTTTTTTTTTTTTTTTTTTTTTAAGAGCTTGTTATCCATAAAATCATACACTGTTTTCTGGATAATATCATTGTTGTAAAATAGTTTTGATCGTTACTTGGTTATAACCGAAAGTCCAAATAAAAGTTTGAGAATGAACGGCAATACTTGTAAGTATTTTCCTAGCGTAATATCCTCTTGGTATTCTATTTTATTTGAATATTAATTTTGTAAGCGTATTATTAGACATTTTTTCGGCCACTATTTTCGTAATCCAATCGCAACCATATATTTTACTTTTTATTCATTTATTCTTTTAATGCTTTCTCGTTTCTTCCGTTGAATGAAATTTCTCAACAATCTACAATTACCGTTTTGCTTATGACATTTTTAATGAAATACAATAGAAATATAATGTAATAAAAGCTCTTTCATGTAGAAAAGGGACGAACAAATTTATATCCATTAAACTTCCATAACGCGTCAAGCATTATCAATATTATTATGCGAAATCAACGCAATAATGATGAATTTAATGCAGAGCACAACCAGCTTATAATATTAAAATTTTTTCAGCAAAGATAATTAAAATAGCCATTAATGTTAATTATTTAAGAAGATTTATATAGAAATTTAAGACGAAAGGAACGAGTTTAAAAATAAAATGTATTTTTAATAATACCATCTAAAAATGGATCTGTTTACAAAATACCGTTCTAAGCAATTTATTAGAATACTATGTTACCGTCGTCATATATAACAAGTTCTTTGAACATTTTTGCAAATTAACGCATACTATTGAAGAACATTATTTAAAGAAATGATCGTTAAATTATTAGTCATGTGATTTTATAAAAGTTTAATAAGCTTTATTATTCAGCAGAAAAGAGGGAAAAAAAAAACAATTTTCTATAAAAAGTTTTAACAATAATAATGCACTACAGTTCAAATTCTTACTCAACTACAACCAAATGAAATGGCGATTTATTGTTCAATGTGAAGAAAATTCACATTCAAGCGCAAGAATTGAAATATGTTCGATAATAATATTGAACTCAAGCTCATTCCGGAATTCATTTTTACTACTCCATTAATTTAATCAGCTGCAGTTGCATTTCTTTAAATGAATAATACGAGAGAAATAGTTGAGAGGTGACAGGCTTCGTAGGAAAATGTCAAATAACGTGGTGCATTTGCCGAAAACGTTACGAAAAGTAACGAAGCCGATTTCTCTCGATCGCTCCATTATGACACTTTGATCTTCCCGACTCTTGTTATTCTCGTATCGCCTCGTTTTCATTCTCCGTTCCCCGCTCCTTCTTAACCTCCTCCTCCTCCTCCTCCTCCTCCACCTCCCTCTCCCACACACTCCTCCACGCCCCTTATCCTCCTACTCTTCGCGACTAGTTTCGCCGCTTGATAAGATGCATGTAAATAATAATTGTTGCCCAAGGCCACGGGGCTTAATGCGCCACACACAGCTCTTGGCAACCGTCTGAGGTCGCCACGTAGCGCATACAACCGACTTCCATTGCATCGCGAGGCATTCGTTTTAATATAATCGACGACTTAGAGAGAGAGAGAGAGAGAGAGAGAGAGAGAGAGAGAGAGAGAGAGAGAGAGACTTGCGGTTTACTGCTACAGACACCCTACTAACGTATGCTTGCAATTCTCTAGACACTTGGAGCTCATGAGTTATCGCT